CGGCTGCTGGCCCCTGGCGGCTCCCTGCCCCCGCTGGCTCCCATGATCTCCCCACTGCCGGGCCTGGCAGCCCCTGGCACCAGGGCTGAGAGCAAGTCGCGCCGGGCCAGGCCTCTGCCCACACTGGGAAGGCTGTCTCTGTCCTCTTCATCAGTGGGCAATTGTACGGGCCCACAGGCCTCGTAGAGAAGTTGGAGCAGCCGTCACAGGCTGGGTCAGCAACCCCCTCCGCCACCCAGCACGGCTGCTCCCCAAACCTCCCTATGTGGCACGAGTACGCGGGCAGGCAGTGAGCTGGTGTGGATGCACCAGAGCTGCCTGTGGGCCACCCTTCTCCCCCGAGGAGGGGCTGGAGTGGGTGCTGGCCACAGAGACTGGCTGCTGCAGCCACAAGCCCAGTACAAGCAGGACCCAAGCCCTGGGCTGAACACATGGCCACAGCCCTGGCCTCAGCCCACCATGCGCAGGGGGTCAGAGGCCCTGCAGCACCCACTGCAGACCCGCCTGCCCTGGCTGCCACGAGTGGCAGGAAAAAGCAGGACCCGGATCTGATGCGAGCCCCTCTCACATGTGCGAGTATCAGGGAGAGACGGAGCATCCCATGATGGGAAATGAAAAGTCAAATTCAAGACACCACCACAGGGAGCATAGGACTCCCCATTCCTGGGCCTGCACCCCCTGTGCCTGTCAGGCATCACTCATGGAGGGAGTTGGCTGTGTCAGTCTGAAAGCAGGCAGAAGGCAGGGTAGATTTGCACCTTGGAGACTAAGTAAATCAGAGCTACGTAAGCTTTTGTCAGCAGCAGTTCACAGACCTGGCTTCAGCGACTCGAGCAAAACCCAGGTCTATTTCTTCTCTGGCAAACTGTGAAGGCAGAGGTGAACTACGAACCATGCAAAGCAGCACACTAACAAGTGTGCAATTACAAAACCAGCTTTGGACGATACTAACACTCCCAGCCCTCCTTCTCCCCTCCCTTGACGGGAGAGTGGGTCCTGGGAGAACAGGAGGAGAAATGCTTCTATTTTGGTGAAAAAAATAGTGAATGACTATTTCCACATGCATGAGAAATGAAAATCTTAATAAAAAAAGTCAAAGGTAAAGAATTTCAATTCTACAGAGTTTTCCAAGAAGTTCAAAGCAGTTATATATAAGCACAGGCACACCCACAAGCACATGCACAGACACGCACAGTTTACCTCTCAGCCAGGGGATTTAATCACACCGGTGTCTCCCCACCCCAAACCCTCCAGCTCTGGGTGGGGAAGGGACCAGGGGCTGCTGCTTTGGACAATGGAAGGGAAATGTATCACCAGGCACAAGGAGGTAGCAGCACCTGATTTTACCATCACTATTCACAAGCAGGAGGAAGAGATGCAGTGATTTTTCTGCTGATGTTTGATCTGTAGAGTGGGTGAAGTCTGAGAGGATTTCACAGTGATATCAGGGAAGTACCAGGAATTAAAAGGAAATGTCTGCATGAGAAACAACATTTAATCACTGTAATGATACTTCATGATCAGTGAGAGGAAGGGAAGCCCCTGAGGAAATATTATCTCCATGAGCAGAATTGGTGGGGAAGTAGCCAAAACCGGTGGAGTTTTCATGTTCCTGTGTGAGGAGCAGGGGGGAAACAGGCAGCAGCAGAGAGAGCTTCTCACCATCTTTAGAGATAAGATGGAAGAAGAAAAACAGGCAACCACATCTCCTCAAATATTTGATAATCAGTGAGAGACAAGGTCTGTGCCCAGGGATGGGAGAGTAAGCAGGCCACCCCGGTGGGGGATTTCAGATCATCATGGGAGAAACTGGACGCAGAGATGGCAATGTTAGGCTCATATTCTGCAAACAATTGGAAAGTCAGGGCCAGCCTTTTGCTTTAACTTGGACAGAAAGGTGTTTGATGTGGGTCTTTGGGTAAATGTGGGGGGATCCTAAAGGAATGAAAGGGGCAGAAGAGGAGCAATTTATACCATTACTCAGTAAATAACAGAAGGTAAATTCAGAAAGAATATTTGCTTGATAAGGGCCAACAAGGAGGAGAATTAGAGGGGAGTTCCTGTCTATACGTAACCCTGTCCAGGGCCTTGACTGGCCATGTTAGGTATGCATGGGCAGGCTTGGGACAGCTGGAAGGCAGGCAGGGACCCTGCGGGGCCATGAAAAGCTTTAAGGCTGAGACTGAGCCCAGGGAGACTCCAGACCAGAGTCACCGTCTCAGGGCATCTCTGGGAAGGAAGGAGCCCTCTTGCCCCAGGCTGAGCTGGGCCGGGTGTGACCGCCTGGAGAGAGTGGGGAGTGACCGCTCCAAACCGCGGCCCCGCAGCCCAGCCCAGCCCAGCCCAGGTACACGTTCATTGTCCTTAGGTTTATCTGGGAAGTATCTGATATGTTCAATAGCTGATAGTTGAGCTTAATTCACATTCGAGGTTATCTGATAGTCAGAGTCATTAAAATATAATGAGACCATGGACATTCAGGGATTGTTACTGGGAGAGTGTTGGGTTTTGACTGTTTGGGGTTACACTAGCTGGGGAGTTTAAAGGGGACATAGATAAGGATTGATTTTTTTTCCTTTTTCATTTGCATTTTAATAAGCCGTTCACTTTATGTTGCTTGCGAGTGGGGAAGTTGTTCCTTAGGACCCTGGGAGTTTTCATTTTTCCAGGTTTCTGGGTGCAGTCTCGAGCCTAAACATCTCCTAAATTGAGACCTGGCCAATGTATTGCCATCAGGCAAGTTACAAGTATTTAGGGCAAAAGTGAGTCAAATGTGAGGGACACTGATTTCCTGTTTGATGGAGAAAGAAGGTACAGGGATGTAGATGACCAGTCTAGAGAAGGGACCTGGGGCTGGGGCTTTGCTTCTGGGATCAGAAGGGCACAAGGAGATGGGTAAATGTTGGGGGGTTTTTTCCTGGCTATATTGGTTCAGGGGAGAGGACGGGGGCAAGAGCTGAGGGCATTTCAGAGATATTGGAGAAGTCATTTAAAAAGGGATTTCTTCCCCAGTCCCCCACCTCCTCTCCTGGATGTATTTGCCTGCCTTTTAAAATTCCTCCCTGACATCTCTAGGCAAAAAACCCTGCAAATTGCTCTGATTGTCTTTCACCTGCCACTGGATGTTTGATGAGCGTGGGCAGGACTAGGAGCAGAGAGTGGGCCCACCCCCGTGTCAGTGAGAAGCAGGTTCCCTGGTGCTCTCTGGTCTTGTCCAGCTGCAGCAGCTCTGCAATGAGAGCAGGGCTGCCAGGGCTTAAGCCCAAGCACCCCGCTCTCAGGACAGAGCCGGGTCAGTCTCAGCAAGACCAGAGAGCCCCAGCCCTGGCTCCAAGCTCCCCAGATCTCTCCTGGAAACCCATCTCCTACCTTGATTGTGACTTTCAGCTGGGGCCAGATTTGCCACAGTAAAGCCCCTGTCATCCAAGGTTTTAGGGTGAGTCCAGCTGGTCCCTGGGGAACATTTAATCTTTAAAGCCTTTTGGTCTTGGAAACGTGAACCTCCTTTCGATGCCCTACCTTGGACAGCGACAAACCCTGCCCCAGGCAGGTAGGACAGTGGGGTGTGATGGTCAGGGGCTGCTACCAGGGAGCTCAGTGGATGGAAGCTGTGAACTGCCTGATCCCCTTGAGGGCTGGGACCTGAGGGGAGCCGCTTCCAGCACAGTAGGAAAAACCCCTGGCAATCCTAAAGGGGTGCTATGTGGTTGAATAACACAGCAAACACTTCTTCCCTCTCACACCATCAATGTAGACAATTGGGAGCTGACAGCAGCTGGGCAGGAGAAAGGAGGGCACAGATGGGCCATGCAGAGACAGCCTAAGTTTTGAGATGACTTGACATCAATAGCTGGTTAATAGTAAGAAAAGAGGCAACACTTTGGTCCACTGAAGCCTTTTTTGCTAAGCATCTGCTTCTCTAGCAGGTAGATTAAAGCAAAGAATTTTTTGGTAATATCTTTTATTTTACAAATGGTATAGTTGGGGGAGATGTTGGATGAACAAATTTGGCCTTCCTCAGGTCTGAGAAGGAAGGGGGAGAGATGAGAAGAGTGTCGGGCATGAGTGAATGTTAGGATCAGGGCTGTTCCAGGGTGAGCAGACAAACGAAGAAGATTTCTGACCTGTTTACCAAGAGGGGTCACCCAAGTGTAACGAGGAGATCCTATGCCCCAAACTGATGAGAACACAGCCCCATTTTGACATAAGTGGATTTGTTATACCAGGTGGATGGTGGAAAGACCAAGGAGGAGGAGGTGCCCAACTGCTAATACTGAAGTGGTGGCAAACGGCATTGGTCTGGAGGGCCTCGTGGGACACTTTAATCACACTCTAAAGGGAATACTGCAGAAATTCATAGCTGGGAATTCATAGCTAAGAAGCGGCACCAGCTGATTCCCTCACTGAGGTTTGCTATTTGAGAGGCACCACAGATCTCCCTCGGATTTTCCCCTTTCAAGCTACTCTGCAGGCATCAGCCCCCACGTCTATTGGATATCATGAAAGAAGGCTGAGAGGGCCAGGTATCCCAGGCAATGAATGTACCACAGTATGTGATAAACCTTTGACAGAGGCTAGCAGCAGCTCAGCGGATAGTGGGTGTCAACCTATGGGAGCACAACAGTGCCAGAAGGCCAGCTACAAAAAACCCTCACTATTCGCAGTTTCAAATATTTGTGAATGCCGAACCTGCATTTTCAATACACTTTATACGCTTACAAGAGCTCCTTGGGAGCT